GATTTAAAATCTATGAATTATTTCCTGAAATAATCAGGTGGTGCCCCTTTGTTATGCTAATAATTACGAGGTATTTATGATATAGCATCGTCCATAACATCGACAACAGCATATCCCTACAAAATAAACTTTATCTGTCACCAGCTGAGGGAGGCGGCTGTCTCCATGGTTAGTGAATGGTGCACAAGAAAATAATGCATTATCTCAAGCAAACCATTGGGAAATCAACTTGTTATCTTGAGAAAACGTCCTCGTTATTTCATGATAATGGCACAATTAACTCGTTATCTCGAGAAAACCATGGAAAAGGATTATATGTGGCGGCTTCCATAGAGTAACAGCGCCTTTTAGGAGAGAGTTTAAATAAGCCCGTTCCAAAAAATCTGATTTTTTAGATTTCATAAATCAGTATCACCGTATGCTTAATGGAAGCGATTCAGATGTATGATGCTATCTAATAAATTGGATTACCAACTCCAGAAAAGTCATAAATAAGACTTCTTAACAAAACTCTGGTATCATAATGACAGAACAAATGTTTACAGTTACATTTCTGGAGAAGATGTTGATGTTAGTTAATTTAGTCAGAATGAGTTCATAAATAAAACATAAAAAACTAGTTTAAACTCACCAGAGCTGTTGACCTGGAGCAAAAGAACAGAGGTGAAGCTGACGAGCAGAAAACTGACTGAACTGACAGGAGTTTTCCTTTATATAGACTGCAGCTCCCCCCCAACACACACACACACACAGTTCTTCTTGCATCATCAAAATGAAAATGAAACTCACTCTGCATCCCCTCTCCCCCTCTGCATTTACAAGAAACAGCAACACTAGAAAGGAAAGCCCCCCACACCCCATCCCTGCCATACATTCATTTATGAGTTTAGTTTGATAAATAAACATTTAAAAAACAGCTATGAGTTCAGTGTTTTTAAATTCACACATACACACAAAAAAAACTAAACAAAGAAAAAAACCAAAAATAAAATAAAAACAAGAAAACAAAACAAAGCCAAAAACAAAGAAAAAAACATCAGAAAGGTGAGATGAGAATAAAGTGTGCTTCAGGGTTTTGATTTTTTTTTTAAGTTTATGAAATTTCTTGACAGAAAAGTTGAGGTGGTGTGAAGTTTTAATAAGTGGCCACTAGAGGGAGACAAACACATCACCTCAATTTATATCACCCGTTAAAGAAAGTTGGTTTCCATTTAGGGAAAATTTTAAATAAATGAGATAAAATTGAACATCTAAAAGTTTGATATTCAGCTCAGGATTTTTTAAACCTAAAAACAGTGGCATGTCCTGATCTTTTTGACTAAAACAATTATTATTTCTGTTTCCATAAAACTCACAGCTTATTTCTTGTTTATATTTATGATGCCATTGTTTTTTTGAAGAAATAATTTAGAACCCACAGCTGTTTAAAAGTGATTTCTCATGATTTAACGTTCTTAAACATGAATTGATGTAAGTCAGAAACTCTTGCTTTAAAAACAAAAAATAATGTGGAATTCAACAACATCTTAACAAGCTCTTTATTATATTTCAAAAAAGGTTTTACAGTTTTTAAAGGACAATAGAAACTGGCAGATATATTGAGTTTTTTAAGAAATTTTGTATTTTATAGTATATATAATATATATAATGTATGAATGCACTGATCACTGTATATGTTGTTGAATATTCCCCATCT